GAGAAAGAGAAAGCGAACATGAGATAAAGAGAGAGAGAAGAGAGAGAGAGAGAGAGAGAGAGAGAGAGAGAGAGAGAGAGAGAGAGAGAGAGAGAGAGAGAGAGAGAGAGAGAAGACAAATTCGATGCTCTGCCTGTGGCTTGTGTAATGAACTGTGGCTTGTGTAATGAAAAACAAAACAATAAATGTTCCTTCTAAAGAGCATTGTGTTTGAGCATCTGCTTCATGTCGAATCTTGTGTGTATGATAGACATATCACAGAGTTTCTCAGGTGGAATACTGTACTGTCTGAGACAGACAGACAGACAGACAGACAGACAGACAGACAGGTGAGTCGTGTGAAAGATCTCTCGAGCTGTGATCTGTCTTGTGGACGTCGAGTGTCCAGATATCTTGACCTAAAACGTCACGCGATTTTCTGTTCCCTTGATAAAAATAAGCATAAATACCTTTCCCAATGTATGACAATAGTTAACATATAACACATATTTTATCAGATAAAATAGTCAGTAGGCTAGAACTGAAGGGTCTAACGACGGACGATTCGCCAGGTGAGTCGATTCGCATCACCAACTGTATTATCCAGGTGCTTCACTGACTAAAATGTAGGCTAGTAAAAGTAAGAATAAACAACACTATTCACTTAATCTCGTTTTAAATCTAATATTGATCATATTGGCTCTCATAATTGTGTTATTATTCGTTATAAAACTCATACAAATGATTGTAAAATATCATACCCCCAATTTACAGCTCCTTGCCAAATGAAGTTCCTTTGTTTCAGTCACCAACCTGTAGCTTGCAGCTTTTCTCCGGCAGAAAAGTTGACTACAAATTATGACGAGTCAAGATCCGATACAGTACTGTACCCTTCTCAACTTCAACTAATGTGAAATGCATCGTGTAGCCTACTACCTCCCGTGCGCAACAGCATCAGGCATGCGCGTAAAATCCCACCCTACAGAAATGTCACTCCTCGCTTTACTGCGGAGGCACATCCGCACAGGTAATTTCAAGTGACACAGACAAAAAAATCATATTTACCGAGCTATTCATTAACTTTGGAAGTGTCTGTTTGTTTAGCCAAAATCTCTATGTTGTCACTGTTAAAACGGTGTTTTTGACTTGAATGTAAAAGTCAAACATGAACAGAACTCCATAGGCTGCTCCCTACTGTACCTTCACAGATGACTGACTCATGATCTGTATCTGTTTGTCCTTCATCCCTGTTTTATGTTAGTGCCAGTCTGTACTATCATGTCAACTCCTTGTCACCCATTATTTTCATGCCATGTTTGGCTTGACAATTACCAATGGAGTTGGCAAGAGCACAAGCAGATCTGGGACCAGGTTGTATATCTCAGTGTAGAGAAGTAGTGAACTACATGTAGTTCAACTAGTCATTTAGCTACATTTTGCATTAGCTTGGTGGTAGTTGAAGTACATTCAAATGTAGGTAGTGTTTTCAATAGTTAATTACTTTTTTGCCATGTAGTGGTGTAGACAATTATTGGAACTACAGACTACTTTTTTGCAAAAATAAAATATGGGTGAAGTGGGCAATCATTTCCTTTCTTTGTCTGCATCAGACCTGCATAATTCTCTCACTTGTGTTTAATAGGCTAAATTACACATTATGTTAACATATGACCCCAAAGTGATCTGTTCTTGTAATTATAGTCTATGACATTTCAGATTGACATATGCAAACATTTTTAACTTAACTTCTTTCAGTGTGAAGTATTTGGTAGCTTGGTAACTATCTTTTCAGAGTAGCTTCCCCTACACCGTCACTAACATTGGTTGATAAGAGGCTGATGGGGGTAAAAACTGAAGCAATGAACTACCATAAGGATTCACTTTTGTGTTGTCATTAATTCATACTCGATTAAGGTTCCTTACCAACTCACTCAGCAGAGTAAATACTCTGCGGTCACAAGAAACTGCTGGGTTCCTGAAAAAAGCCCTGGCAAGCAAGATATTATTTTCCTTTTTTTTACCTCAATTTTCCACCACTCTAAACTGGAGGTCCGGGGTTGATTAAAGAGTTACGTTGTGGCTCCATTCTGCCACTACCCATTAGGCATGAAAATGTATGAGCACGTGTAGTATGAATTAAGTTTCGTCTCACATGTAACTTACCTATTTATCTTGTTAGTGTTGTTCCCCCTGTACTGTTAAAAAGGCTTATGAGATGCCTCTGAGTGGTCCTATGTTTCAATGATGTACCCAATTGGGGGGAGGGGGTAAATTATGCAATGGAATAAAGGAACATTCTTTTTGGGTGATAGCAACCACCTGAGCTGATCATTCTTAACAGCATGCAGCAGGTCTACCTTAAGTACTACAACGCATAGACCATACACAGACACATGTATACACAGTTCAAGTCAGGTCACCAATGTAGAAAAAAGTAACTGGTACAAAAGTAGAGTAACACTGACTCCATGTATTTCATAGAATAATAATAATAATAAATACCATACAGTCATCTAGGTGTGCATTACATGACATTTGTGGTTAGGTCAGTGGTCTTGAACCTCTGATATTTATCATTGTATTAACGCAGTCACAGACATCATCATACACTGCTTTCTGATTATTTTCCATAGTAGATCAATAGTGCCATCTACTGCCCACTGTAATGCAGCAGCTGTACCATGACAAACCAAGACTAGGATTGCAAAATTCCGGGAACTTTCAATAAATTCCCTGGTTTTCCCGGAATGAGGAGGGAATAAGCAGGAAAGCCGGAAAAGCTCCAACCAGGAATTCTGGAAAAACTGGGAATTTATTGAAAGTTCTCAGAATTTTGCAACCCTGCCCAAGACAAACACGTCTAGCCTCCATTTAGGCAATTTACTTGTTTCAACCTCGGAGGCATTTTTTGTTTTGTTCAAGAGAATACATTTACTGTATCTGATCCAAAATGGTAGGTAGACTGGATGTTCAAAACAGTTCAGTTATGAGTGACAATATTCAAATGAAAAAATATATTTAATGCTTCACACAATTTCAGACAAAATCGTGGGAGACACTCAAATTTCCCTTCTAATTCAAATGCTTTAAATGCTTAATTATACGCAATAAAAAAAACATGTATAACCTTATGGCATCTGACAACATATTAGATATGATACACCTCCCTTTGCACCCAAAAGCAGAACAAAGACCAATGCAAACATCCTCTCACAATGGTAGAATCATCCCAATTTGTTGTCAGATGAGTACCCGTTTCATCAGAAAGGTATTGTCCCGAATGGCACCCTATCCCCTTTATAGTGCACTACCCTGGTAAAAAAAAAATATATATAAAGAAAGTACACTATATAGAGAATAGTGTGCCACTTTGGACATTTTTACATTGACATTTTAGTCATTTAGCAGACGCTCTTATCCAGAGCGACTTACAGGAGCAATTAGGGTTACGTGCCTTGCTCAAGGGCACATTGACAGATTTTTCACCTAGTCGGCTCGGGGATTAGAACCAGCAACCTTTCGGTTACTGGCACAACGCTCTTAACCACTAAGCTACCTGCCGCCCCGTAAGCTAAGAGTCAGTCACTACAGCGCCCTGGAACCAGTAAGAATAACATCCTGTACTACTCCATTTGTAACGCTGGTAATTAAGGCAGACTCATAGGTTATTATAACTGGCACTGTTGGTGTCTAGGGAGACCTCGAGCATTCCCTTTATAGTGCAGTACTTTTGACCATGGCCAATAGGGCTCTGGTCAAAAGTAGTTGCCTGACGACTCATCTTGAATTGAATTCCGCTGCTCTTTCGATCACTCCATACAAGAAATGCTAGTGGGTGTGGCATATGGCCAGGGCAATGAGGATGGGTAGTCAGACTACAAAAGTATTGCACTATGTAGGGACGCAGGGTGCCATTTGGGACGCACCCTGAGTGATTACCTCTACATACCACGAGGGTTGTTGGTACTCACTACGAAACATACTGTATGTACAGTACTGACCTTTCAGATAGCTTTCCATGTCAGAGAGATAAATACCCTTACACACATACCAATCATAATTGTGTAAGCGAAATTGAAAGATTAAATTAATACATTTTATGTTTAAAAAAATGTTGGACCCAGGTATTTGTAACACAGAGATCTTTCAGCAAACATTCACACATTAGTATAGTTCTGTATATATATATATATATGTTTTTATGCAGCACAGGGCACTGATTCGCCTAAAAGTAAACTCATTTTATAGTGGATTTGGCTACAGGTTCAAACTGACACAACTGCATGAGAGTAGTAGGTACAGTATCATAGTTTACAACCACAAGTACTTTTCAATGTGGTTTTCTTCCAAGATGGGGGAATGTTATCTTTGAGGAACAAGGCCTAGTTTTTAGTTAGGCTCCAAAACAATCAAATCAACTAAGTTGAAAGAAATACATGTAGCAATCATCACAGATCTATAGGTGTATGCTTACAAATAGTCGCCTTTGCACCATAGTAACCCATGTCCTGTGTGATAACACCAACATCTATATTTTTAAGTGATATTTACTGATTCAATGCAGGCTTCCTAATTCATTTGTTTGACAATGTTGCTTCCTGTTGAACCTTGCCTGAAATAAGAGGGGGAAAACACAGATAGTGCCCTGTTTAAATGACTTGTGCTGAGGAAGACCCCAATGACGACGTTGTCATTTCGATACTCGTAAAACTGTTTGTAGCAAAAATAATCATAATCGTCAAATAATTGTGATTAGACACAACCCAAAAACATTCAGGTGCTTAAAATAGATGTGCTTGCTGGCTTCAACTCTCTTCAGTGTTTAGTCCATTCCAGCGTTTTTTGACCCATTCCAATCCTTGCACAGAACAGCATTCCCCCCCAAGTGTAAATTCCCCCCCTGCTTTTTCCCTGTGTCACCTTTGATGCTCCATAGCCTTCCAAGTAAACTACACAATTACTACTTGTCCATTCTCAGTGCGCTAAGGCATTCCAAACCACTCTGCTTTTCTTACATTCCTCTAAACAGCACTTCCGTTTAATACACCAAATTTTACGCTGGACAAGCTGTTGTTGGACGAGCTTGGCTGTAGTCTGCCTGTCCTCTGTGTCAATGACCCCACTTCAAACACCTCCTGGATGGCTTTGCGGAAACAATGGAAGTTATAGTCTATTAAACCTGAAAGAAAACATATCACGCTATATGAATATATGTCCCCAAAAAAATTGGGCCAGTAACTCCCAGGACTACAAATGAGATAAGAATGGTAGTGCGGCATGTTAAACTTCTTCTAAAGGCTATATGCATGTCGGTCAAATCAACACAAGATGCTAATATAAAATGGTAAAATCTCACCTTTCTTTTCAAAGCTCTCCTCTCTAAGGATGCAAACGAGGGCTAGGAACTTGGTGACCTCTTTCAGGTAGAGTATGGTGGTGTTGTTGAGCTTAATGATGGCCAAAGACTCCTTATCATAGGCACTGCCACTTCCATCTTCCCTCAGGCTGCAATGGAAGACCACAAAGCAATTCACTTTTTACAATCACAAAATAAACTCAAAGCTCTCCATTATAGCTTTTCACAATCACAGCAATCTACGATTCCTTGTCAACCTCTGCAACCACAAAAGCATCCTTACCACATGCTTCAACCGAATACGGTGCCAGGCAGTGATGCGTATTCACTGCATTGTTGATTTCAATGATTTTCACATAAATCCCAAGCATGTACAATGTAATTGTATGAAGAGACTGTTAATAGATGTCCAATACACACTTTTTTAAATGACATGACAGGGATCATCAACTAGATTAAAATGAGGGGCGATTTTTTCTGGAGCAGATGGTCAGGGGGCCGGAACATAATTACAAATTATTTGTAGACTACAAATTGACCACAAGAAGCCCAAACACATAATATTTGACTAAAACATTATAATTTCAAACCTTGCTTACATTTGTATACGATCACATCTCTATTATGCGTGGAAATACTTGGGAACAGATTTCCAAAAGTAAAATCACTTGGAGCTGATTTCCTGATGTTTTTCTGGTGTTTTATGTCCAACAATGATTTTTAATTATTTGTATTTCTTTTTACATGTTTTTATTTCTTTCCTTTTGCTCAGAAAACTTGGGAGGCCAAATAAAACCACCTGAGTGACAAATTCGGCCCGCGGTCCGCCAGTTGGGGAACCCTGGCATATCATTTTCACTCACCCATAGATACAAGAGACGTCGATGACAACATCGATCATGTCACAGCAAAGCTCGTATGACTGCATGTCCACAGGGGAGCTGTCGGTGGCGATGTAGATCTTACTGACCACGTCAAATAGGAAGGCTTTCTCAATCCCAGAGTTCTGTCCAAAAATAAAAACACAGGGGCAATGTTTTGACATAAGAAACATTATCGAAAGGACTAAAACATTGCAAAAACATATGTTGTGATGTGTGTAGAAGTGCAGAAAAACAAGCATCAGTTCAAATCAGCTTATTGGTCAAAAGAATACATACTGATATGAAAATGTTCACAAGGTTTTCCAATGTTGGTAGCTGAGGAATGAGCTTCTGGACAACTTTACTGAAAGCCTCAAATATAGAGTGGTCATAGATGCTGGTCAAATAAAAGCTGAAACATAGAAAAGGAGAAAGAGGGAGAGAGAATTGAGATCGCAGTTATATTTCCTGTGTTTCTAACAGTTCCTTTCCCAACTTGTTAGGTCAAAAACAAGCTGATCCCTCTGAGTAACAGTCGGCCACATACCTAACCTACCACCAATTAAGGACAAAACAGACCGCACCGACGAATGGTTAAAAGCAGCGTGTGGCCTTCATATCTCCTCTGACCACCGAACATCAGCTGTCATTTACTACTGTTCATTTCCCTAAGATTCTTCATGTTGAATAGCCACAGTTGGTCCACACCCAGCAGGTGATCTACTGCGCACGGCCGACGTTCGTTATGGTGTGTCTTGTCCTTTATACTAAAGGCTGTTACACACGTCATGCAAACAGAGCGCCGTATACGGTCCGTTCCAAAATTTGAGCCACACAAAAGTACATAGAACTACATGTGAAAACGACGCTCTGTTGCTGCGTTTGCATAGTTTGAGTGAAGTGTGTCGGGCCCTTAACCTGAGATGAAGCTTCTCCAGGCTGGCATCTGCCAGGTCATCGTTGGCTCTCTGATGGACATCTCTTTGGGTTTCTATCTTGTGATCGTCTGACAGGCCATCAACCTTATGGATAAACACCTCAAAGTTGATCTCTGGGTTGACCCTGTAGGCTCGGGACACTGTGAGATGTAGCCTCCCCAAGGCTTCAACATAATCATCCTGATGAAACCAATAGAGAACAAAGGCATAAGCAGAGCAGAGACAATGCAGCAGACAATTTTTTTAAATAAATAAAGATCAGTGGAACTGTAGGCTGTACAGTCAGTTCCCCAGGACTGCTGTAGACAAGAAGAGCCTTCTCAATGTTTGCCATGGGTAGTGGGTAATTCCATGATAACAGAATTATGCTGAGACTCCATGCTGAGACTCCAAACAAAAACCATTGATTTCAGAGTTTAACAAACCATACAATTCTATGCACAAGGACTACTTTTAACAATTTCCACTGAACATTTTACAAAAACACATTAACAGGAAGAACTGTGCAGATACAACGTTTGGTAAAATAATAAAACTGAGGGAGATTTTACCATAATTCTGTTACCAAACTTTGCATCTGCAGTTTTTCCAGTAAATGTTTTTTTTTTTTTTTTTTCACTGTGTACATTTTTCTAAGTAGCCATTAGAGTTGTATGATTTGTTAATCTTTGGTTTTTGTTTGGCATACATTTTAAAGCGTAATTAAAGTGTGTTACCTTGGAATTGTCTCACCTGAGCATCAATGACGAATATCAAAGCCCCCGTGCCCCTGAAAATCATCTCATAGTCGAAGGTAGGGTCAAAGAAGTCCACCTGACCAGGGAAGTCCCAGATTTGAAAATTTACGAAAGAGCTGCTGGAGATGTCATCCTTGTAGATTTTGTTGGTGCTCTCCAAGAATAGTGTCTCGTTGGGCGACATCTTGTGGAATACAACCTAGATATAGCGCAATGTATGTTTAAATTAGACAAATACAATCAGTGTAAATGACTACTTGACTACCTAGCTAGGTAATCAACATTTAAAATTTTTACATTTTAGTCATTTAGCAGACGCTCTTATCCAGAGCGACTTACAGGAGCAATTAGGGTTAAGTGCCTTGCTCAAGGGCACATCGACAGATTTTTCACCTAGTCGGCTCGGGGATTAGAACCAGCGACCTTTCGGTTACTGGCACAACGCTCTTAAGCACTAAGCTACCTGCCGCCTATACAACTTGAGTAGTGTACCATGCATAAAGATTATAGTGCATTCACATTATACAAATTGTAGTGACGCACAGAAGAACTGGGCAGCAGCAGTTTATTGGAGAACTAAACTAACAGAAGTATAACAACACACCTTTTGAATAGATGACTTCCCACTTCTCCGCAATCCCATCAACAGGATCCTTGGTTTACTGTCACCTGATGTCGTGCTCTCCTCCTCGATATCTGGTTCCTCCACTCCGTAGCCAAAATCCTTTGGGAAAGAGTCCACAACACCATAGCTCTCTGCCAATGCAGGCTCCTCGTACTGAATCGACATTTTGCCTCAACTCTACCAACAAATCAACGTTAGCTGTTGTTAAATCTACTGGTCAAATCCAGCCCTGTTTAGATAGCGTTAGCACTAACTAGCCTAGCTAACTGTTCAGATAGCTAGCTAGCTACTGGATTTGCTTGGTTGTTGACAATCAAGTCGTGACTTGAAGATATATAGTGCTGTTATAGGGTGTATTCACTACGAAATAAATACCAGCATTTTAGTACCAAACAACATTATTTTATACTATACTTTCGCTTCCCAACACCTCCAGTTTTAGCATATCAACTAGCCAATTTTATCTCACTTCCGCCATAACCTGTATTTTTCCCGCCCCCTCAATCTCATTGGTTCTCCCACCTAAAGCGTTAATCCTAGCCCAAAACGTGTACGGTTTACCCACAGCAGTGTTGTAGAACATCTATGTCAGGCGAAATCGCGCCTCATTAGCCAATTGTTATGGATGTATCCAAATAAATGTCACTAGAAAACAGCTTAAACAAATGCAAATGCAGCTACTGTTGTTATTCTGTCTGCACTGTTTGACGTGACTGTAAATTAGCCATAGTTGGCTGGCTAGCTAGCAAGCAAGGGATCAGAACATTGCCAGCCAGTATGTCAATGTAACATTTAGAACGAATGACTGGGTCGAGTCCATAGATGCAGAACAAAAAGACTGAACGACTGGGTCACGTCTCTGGCAACCGAACCAATAGAATGAACGACCAGCCGGCTTGGGAAGCAACCCTAGATTTGTGTCGGGACTATATCTTGTGGAAGAATGAAATGGTATAAATAAATTAATCAAAATAAAGTTAATGAAAATATGTCAATCTTTATTTGAATATGTTGGTAACCCATTTAATAAAAGTGATAATACCCACGAAGCCGGTGTTTGGAGGATATATTGGCAACAACCTCGATTTAGTCTCGGGCCTAACAACACCTTTGCCAATATATCCTCCAAACACTGGCTTCGAGGGCATTATCACTTAATTAGAACATCATCCATCATTGAGATTGTATCATGTGTCAAAAGACTTCACTCCTCACTCTATCCACAGTTCAGCAAATTATTTTGTATTCCTTTGTCGTTATAGCAACCGTAACGTTACCACTGTGGAAGGAAGCAGTCAGGGGTGTATTCATTACGTCTCGTAACAGAAACCGTTTACCGTTTAAGAACTAAACGGAAGCAAACGGAGAAAACGGAACAAAACGGGGAGGGACCTAACTGAATATGTCCAATAGAAACTCTCGTTTTCGTTGTAAAACGTTTTCCATTTGGAGTAAACGGTTTCTGTTGCAAAATGGTATGCAACAGACGAAACGTTTTGCAACATAATCTGCGTAATGAATACAACCCAGGCTTAATCGCTTGATAAATCTTTCCAGCTGTTGATAGTTTACTAATCTTCATAACGCTACAAATCTGGTCGCCAGGCATAATGTCTTATTACAGAGTAAGTATACGAAACCTTTCTTCAATGAACTTCATACGAGTGGTTTGAAGATATCGCTTTCATAACCTGTTACTTTGTAGCGTAGTTATAGCTAGCTCGCTAAATGCATTCATTGATTACTTTGTAACTCTCATTCAGTGGCTACACATAATTAGCAGCATGGCTGTACTAGCTAGCTAGTTTAGTAGTTCGTTTTCAAACTTTATGGTCAACAAGACATATTTGTATTCTGCTTGCTTACTGCCTGGAAAATAGTTGCTGCAAATGGACAAAGTTTGTTTTGTTACAGCCTTTTTGATATATTTTCATTGTTTCTTTCAGGCTTCTGAATCAAAGAGGGAACAATTTCGAAGGTATCTCGAAAAAGCTGGTGTTCTTGACAGTCTTACAAATGGTAGGTCTTTCAGAAATTCAAAGACATTACTGCCACAATACATAGACTGTATGCATATATTGTCTGTGTCAGAAACTCTTACACTTGATTGTTTCTCATGTATTATATATTTTTTAACCCTAACCACTTGCGTAGGCTACAGTGTAAACGTTGTATTTGAAGTTCTATGCACATGACCACCAATGTCCATAACTACAGTATTTTTGTTTGCAGTGTTGGTGGCCCTGTACGAAGAGACAGAGAAACCGAATAATGCTTTGGAGTATCCTTTTGCCTTGGTTTGGTAATATTCCAAATTGATAACTGAAGCGTCTTAAAAAAACTGATCTTATTGATGGTTCCTGTAATTTTTAATTGCATTATGGTGACTAGCATCCAGGGGTGTGTTCAGCAGGATGCAATGTTTTGGAACATTCAGATATAAATGTTATGTAGAACAAACATGCATCTCTGAAATGTAGAATAAGGAATCACATAGGCTCTATTTGTGGTATTTCTATCTGCAATGTTCAAGAACGTTTTCCTACTGAACATGGCCCGTTTTCGTACTGAACACTGGCAGGGAAATGACCTTGCCCAAAATCTGGTGACTACTGCCCCCCTGGTGCAACGCAGTCAGGGGTAGAGTTTGTCTACATCACAGCATCTACAGTTGTGGTTGTGCATGTGATGTCTGTAAAGCGTTTAGCATGTGCCAGTGGCTGGTCTAGTGGTAGTGCTGCCGCCCCCGGACCACACATTGCCTCTGGAGGAAAACTCGGTGCATAGAATGGAAAGTTACAATCTTCCCATCTCTATAACTTCTTCACTGTATCTAACAACAGTTAGTTAGAATAGCCTTCACCTACACCACAGCTTTCTAAAGCATCACCTTGGTGTGGCTGGGGTGGAGACCGCAGATGCCGAGGCACTCCGTTTGGGGCTGTCTGAGCTACAGCAGAAGTGTGAGCTGCTCATGGAGGAAAACAAAGAACTCAGAAAGAGGGTCAGATAATTAAATGTTTCCTAAATTGCAAGGGGTGGTGTCCGGGACACAGATTAAGCCTAGTCTTGGACTAGAAAGCACTTTCAATGGAGTAAAAAATACATTAATATTGACCTTGCTTTTTGGTCCAGAACTACACTTAATCTTTGTCTGGGAAGCCACCCCCAAATGCCTGAAAATGTCTAGTCTCGGTACCTTGCAAATAGCTGAATTTGTTTTACAGGTTCTGCAGTATGAACCAGCACCTGAGGATGGCGCAGCGGAGTAATGTAGTTGATTGAAAAAATGTTTCCCACTGTTTTGGAAAGGGTGCTTAATGTAAAGCTATACATTTTTTTTTTTTTTATAGGTGTGTACCACTTTAAGGCAATGTAATTTTGTTTAAGTAGTAAATGTGTCTTCTGTGTACAGGCACTTCCTTCAGCCTAAAGCGTAAACCATTATCTCCAATATTAAGTCAATAAATACTCTTTGCAGGAAATATTTCTCATGGAATGTAATTTCTGTTGATTTACATTTTACTCTATCTATACTGAAAGCAAATATAAACGTAATGATTTTACTGAATCAGTCAATTGAAATAAATTCATTAGGCCCTAATCTATTGCTTTCACGTGACTCGGAAGGGGCGCAGCCAATCAGAATTAGTTTTTCCCCCCCCCACAAAAGGGCTTTATTACAGACAAACACTCCACAGCGCCTTCCCCTCCGACGATCCCGCAGGTGAATAAGCCAGATGTGGAGGTCCTGGGCTGGCATAGTTACACGTGGTCTGCGGTTGTGAGGCCGGTTGGACGTACTGTCAAATTCTCTAAAACGATGTTGGAGGCAGCTTATGGTAGAGAAATTAACATTACATTCTCTGGCAACAGCTCTAGTGGACATTCCTGCAATCAGCATGCCAATTGCATTCTTAAAAACTTGAGACATCTGTGGCACTGTGTTGTGTGACAAAACTACACATTTTAGAGTGGCCTTTTAATGTCCCCAGCACAAGATGCACCGGTGTAATGATCATGCTGTTTAATCAGCTTCATATGCAACACCTGTCAGGTGGCTGCATTATCTTGGCAAAGGAGAAATGCTCACTAACAGGGATGTAAACAAACTTGTGCACAAAATATGAGGGAAATAAGCTTTTTGTCCTTTTGGAAAATGTATGTATTTTTTTATAAATTTCAGCTCATGAAACACGGGACCAACACTTTACATGTTTCTATTTTTGTTCAGTGTAGATGGAATTCCCAACAACTGATACTTGCCCCTTGTTTTTGGCATTGAAATACAGGGCCATAGTAGACAATACTGCTTCTAACCTGTGGTGGGGTAAACATTGTTCAATCAATGTTCTTGCCTTCTGCTGTTTGGATTGATATTTTAACCCATGTCTTCAGGAAATTATTGTTAAATTCATTTAATTAGAAATTCAAGAATATTTGTACTTTATTTTATAAAATAAAGTTATACAATTGTGAAAACAAATCAATGTTCAGTAAAAAAGTTTTCATATAATCCCCTACCACAGTGCCATAAATATAATTTACATTGTCAAATGATCAGTGGGCTTTGGGCAACAACAATATCAATGCTTTTTCAAGACTGAGGACATCTGCAGTAATCCGACCTGGGGAAAAAAACTAGTTGAGAGTATTATACAACTGGTTTATAACTCCTTAGCCAAAGTCCTTGTAGTAGTGGGTTTTCAATTACAGTTAAACTCCAACTGTATTTTGTTATTATAGTGGATAGTATTGAATAAAGTTGACCAGTACATCATGAGGAAAGAAACAATCAATTGGACTGATACTAAAATGGATCGTTATGTCACTGGAAAAATGTCCTCTGATTAGATTGGTAGCTAGTGAACTCCAGCCACCAATTTCAACTGGGAAAGTCAAATTCCCTTGATTATTGTGCTTTTTAAAATTACAATACCACAGACTAAAATGAGGAAATCTTGCTTAAACAGGTCTCTTTTTTTTTCCTTGTTACCAAATACTGGCTTTATCCAATGAATATCATTGATTCAGTTTTGGGTTACGTAATTGCAAATTACTGCCTAAAGGATATAGATTTTCTGATTCTGCTTTCCATTGCTCTTTGTTCATTGCTGCAAAGAGCTTTGTAAGCCTTGAATTTATATGCACGCAATGCAAGGTAAGAGCTTCGAACTACAACAGACCTCCAATGTTGGTCTTTCATCTAGATTTACACCATTGCAAAATTCACTTTTTTTATGGTACAGTATATAAGACAAAAAAGCAATGCTGTAAACATGACACTGGTGTTGCTACCCTTTTGTCCTGCTTAAAGGAGTAGTTTACTATTTTACAACTTGATGTTAGATGGTTCTTCACCATGAAAGTAGGCTATGGGTCAAGAGAAACTGTAATACATGGTTGCGAATCACATCTCTGCATGTCTGGCAGACATATCAGTGTGGATGTCGGATCACCACCTCAAGCTGAACCTCGACAAGACGGAGCTGCTCTTCCTCCCGGGGAAGGACTGCCCGCTCCATGATCTCGCCATCATGGTTGACAACTCCATTGTGTCCTCCTCCCAGAGTGCAAAGAACCTTGGCGTGACCCTGGACAACACCCTGTCGTTCTCCGCTAACATCAAAGCGGTGACCCGATCCTGCAGGTTCATGCTCTACAACATTCGCAGAGTATGACCCTACCTTACACAGAAAGCGGTACAGGTCCTAATCCAGGCACTTGTCATCTCCCGTCTGGATTACTGCAACTCGCTGTTGGCTGGGCTCCCTGCTTGTGCCATTAAACCCCTACAACTTATCCAGAACGCTGCAGCCCATCTGGTGTTCAACCTTCCCAAGTTCTCTCATGTCACCCCGCTCCTCCCCACACTCCACTGGCTTCCAGTTGAAGCTTGCATCTACTACAAAACCATGGTGCTTGCCTACGGAGCTGTGAGGGGCACGGCACCTCCTTACCTTCAGGCTCTGATCCTATACCCAAACGAGGGCACTACGTTCATCCACCTCTGGCCTGCTAGCCCCCTTACCTCTACGGAAGCACAGTTCCCGCTCAGCCCAGTCAAAACTATTCGCTGCTTTGGCACCCCAATGGTGGAACAAGCTCCCCCACGACGCCAGGACAGCGGAGTCACTGACCACCTTCCGGAGACACTTGAAACCCTACCTCTTTAAGGAATACCTGGAATAGCATAAAAGTAATCCTTCTACCCACCCCTCCCATAAAAAAAAATAGGGTGGTTGTCCCACTGGCTATCATAAGTTGAATGCACCAATTTGTAAGTCGCTCTGGATAAGAGCGTCTGCTAAATGACGTAAATGTTGCAAACTTCAGCTAATTTTAGCCACCAAAAGCTAACAATCAATGGAAGTGATGGGGAAATGTGAGTCTAACATTGTAAAGGTTTCTTGTGACTTGAGTTTAATACCCTAACTTTTAGATGGTGGTCCTCTGTAGCTCAGCTGGTAGAGCACGGCGCTTGTAACGACAAGGTAGTGGGTTCGATCCCCGGGACCACCCATACACAAAAATGTATGCACGCATGACTGTAAGTCGCTTTGGATAAAAGCGTCTGCTAAATGGCATATTAAAAAATATATATATTAGATCTGCAGGTTGCCTGGAGCTTGCCTGCTGCTGGCGTTACTTGCCAATGACATTCAGCGGTTGGGAGGGCCGACAGGAGGACTGTTGCCATCGTGGCTGTGCCGGGACGCAGAGCTCAGCTCTCCTATTGAGTCTGGGCTATGGGGTCTGCTCATTCTCTTGAGGTCCGGCTTAGAGAAGGCTCTGACTCGGCTGGCAGCAAAGCTGCAGCGTGGCTTCATGCTTATTGTCCCAGGGTAGGAGTCCCCACTATTTGAGCCATTCCCTTCCACCACTGTGGAACAGTTCCAGGGGGCACTGACCCGCCGGGGTTTCCTCACAATGACCGAAAGGGTCGGGCATGAGGAGGCATCTACCACAGGTAGGGTGGGGTACCCCGAGGCCTGTGACTTGAAGCCCACGTGGTGGGGGAGATGGGCGAGAGGATCTACGTGACAGGGTAGAGGATCCATGTGATGGGGTAGAGGGTGCACGACAAGGTCCTCTGGCTCATCCTGCTTGTCCACAGAGGGAGACCGAGTCGTCTCACTGCTGGTGTTTGAGTTGCTGTTGTGCTCAGTAGGACTTGGCAGCACTCCCTCCTTACTGTCTGTATTGTGGCTGTCTGTACCTGGCTTGACTCCAGGGTCCCCCTGAATGGGAAAAAAAGCAGAGGACGCATTGAGGAGGGGATACGTGGGTCCATTACCCTGCTTCTCCAGCAGGAATGTGTACCCACTCCGTGCTGTGGGGATAGTAGACTTGCGGCCCTCAGAGGTGCCCCCCATGTTAACCTGTTGCATGACAGAGTTTCTTTTGGACTTGCTAACATAGTAGTCTTCCAGGTCATCCTTGAGATGTGGGTGGTTGGCCAGGATGCCCTTCTTGAGCTTCTTGTAGCTCAGGTGCATGATCTCCAAGAGGCTGAGGAAGAGGGACACGGCGGCGATGCCCTGCATGAACATCATGAAGATGGTTTTTTCTGTGGGCCTGGAGACAAAGCAGTCCACCACGTTTGGGCAGGGCTCCCTCTCGCACTTAAATAGAGGGTCCAGGTGGTGGCCATAGAGGAGGTACTGGCACATCATGAAACCCACCTCCACCACAGACCGAGTGATGATGTGGGCCACATAGGTCTGTAGCAGGGACCCCCTCAGCGGAGCCTTGTTGAGCTTCCCCAGATCCAGTTGTCTCATCTCCCTCTCGATACGTCTCCGCACCTCGATCAGCTCCACGTCCACTACCTCCAGCTCCCGACGCAGAACTGCCTTTTTAGTGTGACGCGTCTTCTCCAGAGCTCGCAGCTGGTAGATGGCGTGGCCCATATAAACCAGAGAGGGCGAGGAGACGAAGATGACCTGGAGAACCCAGTAGCGGATGAGAGAGATGGGGAAGGCTCGGTCGTAGCACACATTGCGGCACCCTGGCTGTTCTGTGTTGCAGATGAAGTCGGCCTGCTCGTCGTTCCACACACCTTCTGCAGCAACGCCAAGTGCTAGCATCCGGAAGATGAAGAGGATGGTCAGCCAGATCTTTCCCACTATGGTAGAGTGGATATGCACTTCCTCCAAGATCCCACCCAGGAAGTTCCAATCTCCCATCTTCACACAGGTTTTGTTTATTGGGAAAAGGTCTTTGTTACTTAAAAAGCAG